ATTCCCACACTAAGGAAGCTCAATAATTTGAGGGTTTTTTTCCTTGATAGATTGGAATTACAATGTTGGACTAAAAGCTTACTTGACATCACTATGAGCCTTCAGTTCCAAAAATGGAAATAACCTTCTTGATAATTTCTTATCAAACTTCTAAAGAGAGGGAATAAGGCCACTTCAATAAAGGCATGTTTGGAGATAGTTAAAACGACTTTGTCTAGTATAATTATATTTCGCACAATATTACTTTGCTAGGTGTTTTGTAGGCTTATATTATGTTATATTATTGGTTACTTATTATTTGGTACCCTGGCCCAAAACTATATATAATGAAAACCAATGGTTTTTTTAACAATTCAAGCTGCATTTTTTAATAAATTTGAAGTCATTTTTAACTATTTCTAAATAAAAACATGCAATTTTCAGCCCTTAGAAAAAATAAAGCAAAACATCAAATCCTCGGTCCCAAAAAAAAAAAAATCAACATGACAATAAAGAACAAGGATCCGAAAATCCCAAGTTCTAGCACCCATGGAAAAGCCATATTTCGAGCACTCTCCATCAAAACCATTTTTGGAGGTCTTCACTGAAAGAGGACTCTAGACCCTATTCATCCATTACCGATCATGGGAAGACGGCTAATGGAATTTGCTCTAATGCCTCGTATTCAGTGCTACACATTTTTTAATATAAAGAGACCATTTATTTTTGATATAAAGAGATTATAATCAATGTTATCCATTAAATTTTAAATTGGGTAGTTATAAAAGCATCATTTACTAGACTAAAAGTTAAAAAAAAAAAATTTCTCTAACATAACCCAAACTATCCAATGTAACATCATACGGCATGGAGTAATTGTAATCTCCTCGTAATAAAAGCAGGATATTTGTCAATACGTACAATCCCAAAAAATGTATGTGCATGGTGATTTAACTGTGTACTAGCACTTTTTATGAGAAGCGTTTACTTTAAGGATATAGTTTGTATAAAACAAAGGCTCTAAACAATCAAAGTAAAGCACATATTTAAATAGTATCAAAGAAATGTAGTTTCAATACTCTACAATACTATAAATCTTTATGATAATCTTAAAATATATTTTATATTTAATTATAAAATTTAAAGCTTCAAATATAGCACAGATCAAGTAGATATATGAGAACTTGAAAATCTTGAAAATCGACGATCCAAAAATGCATTACAAATGCATAACAAATGCATTATTTCCAAAACTTGAAATCCATTTTTTTATCATGGATGTACATCTTAAGGTCGAGATAATCAATTTGAAGATATTTGGTTATCAAAACAACCTCTCCTAGTGAATTTTTTTATGTGCTCTCTAATTTGATTTTGTAAAGCCTCGCACTTATGTAAACTTTCTCCTTACTTCAAAGACACATTATCCCCTTATTTGTATATTAAAAAGTACACGCAAGTTCTGTGCCCCAGTCAAACTCAAACTCAAGAGCTCTTGTTTGTTATTACATGCTCTTGAGAAGGGATAACTTGTGTAGTGATTAGCAAAATCTATAGGGGTGAGAACGGGTTGGATCGGGGCCGGATCCGACCAGATTCATATATGCATCTAAATAGTATACATCGAATCCATGTCAGATTCGGATCTTGGATATTCGGATTCGGATCTAGATCCAGATGACTCTTTATATATTATTTTTTAAAAAGTATACATATAAAATAAAAATTTACTATTTGAAAAAAATCGAATTGGATTTGGATTTGGATCTGGATCTGGATTTGGATCCGAATCAAATCCACCTACACTCGGATTTGATCCAAATTTCAATTCGGACATGATTTTTACGTCTAGATCTGAATTTCAAATCCAAATTTTGTGTCCATACCTAGATCCGAATAGAGTCCGAAATGCAGGTTTCGGATCCGCGTCGAGTCAATTCTCCACTTAAAAATGTACCACCCTGACGCTTTATTTTACATGCGATAAAAGAATAAATCACACACACACATTTAAAAATGATAGTAACATGAAAGTTGGGCAATAGTTTCATTTTTATATTTAGAATTAAATAAAAATAATAAAAATCTATTTTGATTAAGAAATATTAATCAAAATAAATTCAAGTGTATCTCTTGGTCATTTTTTATTTTCAATACTTTTAGTCATTTTTATTTAAATATTTATAAAAATACGCGTATACCCTAAAACTCAAATAAATATCTTATTTAAATAAAAATAAAATATAAGGTTAATTTTTAGTCATCAACCATTGGTGCACCCTTCCACCTGTCCATGTGAAGTGGATAGAATACTTCTCCTTATTTAAAAAAAAAGGTGCAGTTTGCATACGGATGCATCCGTAGCAGTAGAGTTAAGGTGCACCATCAAATTTTATCATGGTATATAATTTTGATGTAAAATGTCCTTAGGATTATCTCAAAATCTATTTTTATATCTAATTATAAAATTTTAAATTTAAAAAATGGTTAAAATCAAGTAGATTAATAAACATATGAAAATCTTGAAAATGGATGGTGTAGATAATATGTTGTAAAATGCACTATTTCGGAGACTTAAAATCTTTTTATTCTTCATGGTCATGCATCTCGATGTCGAGATGATCAATCAAAGGGTTTCTCAACTTCAAAACTACCTTTTCCGATGGATTTTTGAGGTGTATCCGTAACTCTACAATATGAGGTTGCAACCTTATATAAACTTTTTCCTTAAATAAAGGGAAAAGTTTATATAGAGCGAAGGTTTGAACAATCGAATTGGAGCCTACCACAAAACTTTAACTAGAAGAGGTTGTTTTGATGCCCAAATATCTTCAAATTGATCATCTAGACATCAAGATGAACATGAGAAAAACATGGATTTCAAGTTTTGAAAATAGTGTATTTTGTAACGCATTTTTGTACCGTCAATTTTTAAGATTTTCAAGTTTTCATAGATCTATCGGTTTACACTATTTTTTAAGCTTTAAACTTTATAAATAAAGATGAAAATGTATTTTAAGGCTTTCACAAAGATTTTCAGCATTGAAACCACATTTCTCAACACTATTTGAATGTAGGCTCTAATTTGATTCTTTAGAGCCTAGGCTCCATACAAATCGCACCCTTAAAAAAATAGAACAGGTCATCATATTTTTATGGGTTCAGTTTGTATAGGGTCGACGCTCTAAACCAAATTAAAGCACACTTTCAAATAAAAATGTGGTTTCAATACTGAAAATCTTTATGATAGACTTAAAGTATATTTTCATATTTAATTATAAAACTTAAAGCTTAAAAAACAATGCAGAGCAAATAGATCTATGAAAATTTGAAAATCTAGCATATTGCTTGTAACAAAATAGGGAAGTATGTTGCATGTAACAAAATAGGGAAGTATGTTGCATGTAACAAAATAGAAAAGTGTATATTACACCATTGTATTACCATTATATATACGAAAGAACCACCACAATTATTTTTTCAAAGAGTTTATCTCTCTCTCAATTTTCCTCTATTTTGATATCGAGAAGAAGTATGTAGGGCACAATTATTTTATCAAAGAGTTCAATTCAAGATGATCAATTTGAGGATATTTGAGCATCAAAACAACACCTCTTCTAGTTAAATTTTTAAAGTGGGCTTTAATTTGATGCCTCGGCTCTATGCGCATGAAACACAGCCCGTCGTCCTTGAACCCAAGATATCTCTTCTTGGCTTTAAGTGAAGCTTGCTATACCGTATGGCCACTTAACCTTTACGTTTGCAACTTGAGAAGTTTAAGAACCTCTCTAGATGAGAATTAATCTTATCTTGAATATATTATCTTATCTTAAATGAATCTAAATAATGTTATTTTGTTAGCTGTTTCATAACTATCTTGTATTATATTATTTAAATATCAAAAAAGTTTATATAAAGTTGCAACCTTAAAATGTAGAATTAAAGCTGCACCTCAAAAATCTATCGGATAATGTTGTTTTAATATTGAAAAACCCTCTAATTGATCATGATGTATCAATACAAATAAAAAAATAATATTTTGAGTCCAAAAAATAATGCATCATGTAATATAGTATCTAGACCGTCCATTTTCAAGATTTTTATATGTTTATAGATTTCCTTGATTTTAACCATTTTTTAAGTTTAAATTTTTCTAATTAGAGGTGAAAATAGATTTTAAGATAATCTTAAGAATTTTTTACACCAAAATTACATGTTATGATAAAATTTGGAGGTGTGCCTTAATTGGATTATTTAAAGTTGCAACCTTATAGAAACCGTACCCTTTAATTATTTAACTTTTTAGTGATGATGTTTACAAACAACTTTGTTTAAATAGAAACAGCTTTTAGAAAAGATAAAATTATAGGTAAAACTAGCTCTAAGTTTAATCAAATAACTTTGTGATATACACAGCCAACAACCCATAGCTCGATATTAAGTTTAACTTTAGTAAAATAGTAAGTTACCAGTGATAACTAGTGTATCCAAACTAGTAGAAAAGTTAAAGTAAAATGTGGTGGGCAAATTATCCAACAAAATTAATAATAATAATAATTATTACTGTTGTTCATACAGAACCCCAATTCCTCATATTATTTTACGGTAGACCCTCCATCCGCACCTTCTTTCCGCTTTTTTTTCAAGTGGCATAAAAAAACCCTTAAAGATTTCATCATACCCCTCATCTCTTATTTCCCTCTTTTATTGATTAGGTGATTTGAAAGGAGAAAGGATATGAATAAGGAATTTTAGAGAAAGGGAGAAAGTACTAGTGTTTGGAGAGAGAGCAATGGAGTTCAAAGCAAGTAATTATGTTTTCGAGAATAAGGCGATTTAGACAGAGAATGGCGGTTTCGACACGGAGAAAACGAGCACTATTATTTTGCTCTCCGCCCTAGGAAAAAAATGCACCAACCAGATAAAGTTGTACCAAGTAAAACAGTTTTCCAAAGAGATTCACTTATGCAAAAAACAAACTAAAACTTTATTTCAAATGATTGTATAATGGACACCATCAGTCAACAAATAATTCATTATCATGATTACTTTTATTCGACAGCAAATTATTAATGATAACAAATACATCCAAATAAGCCTAAATGCCTTTGATTTCCCACATAAATTATGTGAATATCGCAAATAACTATCATAACACATGACCTCCAAATATTAGAATCAGCAAAAGATTCTATTTTCTTCTCTTTCATCCTTGACGGATTTAATTTCCCTTAGTTTAAGAGGGAAAAGAAAGATCTACCAACTGTTGGGGATCAACTTCGGAAGGTGCCTTTGTGAGAGCACATTGGGCAGTTGTGGTCTTAGGGAATGCAATAACATCTCTTATGGAACTTGCACCAGCCAAGAGCATAACGAGTCTATCTAATCCATAAGCAATCCCTCCTGCAAATGTTAATGAAAATTTTCCCATTAAAGCCCAGATACACATTCATCTCATAAAGTCAAAAAGGTCAAGTTTGTGATAATCAAGAAATAAGAAATCTTGTTTTTTGCGTTATGCATTGTGGCCTCCTACATTTTGGCTTTCTTTCGTCCTGGTGTAGTGAGAATGATAATCATCCAAACAGACCGATAGTTCTCCATAGGACTTCACTTAATGGGACATGACACCCTACTTCAAAAACTTTTTCAATGCATTAGTTGAAGAACGGATCTCTCTCTCTCTCTCTCTCTCTCTCTCATGTTTAATGATTTTTTCTGGCTCGTCTTCTGTTGTTCAGGTTAATTTTCATGGATCCACTCTAAATATGGAATATGATAATCGATTTTAATGTGTCAAAGATGTTACAGGGTGCAAGGGACTGTAGAGAATACAACTATGGATCTAAGTCCACACCAATAAAAATTGGTCTCAAAGACAATCAGAGAGAGAGATTTTACACCTCTAGACTACTGGAGCGAGATTTCTAATTCTCTAATCCTCTTATCTTTTTCCTTTTTTGAGAAACTCTAATCATGTGATCTTTATAGGTGTCTTTAATAGAGTTAAAGGCTTGAGGATTATCTAGTACTCACGTACCATGCGGTGGAGCCCCCATGTCCAAAGCCTCTAAAAGATAGCCAAACTTTTCTTTGGCCTGCACGGATAAACAGGTTAAAATACCACTGCACTAGTATTACATTTATACCTTCTGCTACAACATATATAATATGAAATCAAAGGTGAAACTTGTATTCCAATAATGAATCATAAAAATTAACATACTATAAAAAAGAATTTGGAAAGAAAAACAAAAAAAAATGTTTTACCAACAAAGTAGTTCTCGAATGATGCAGAAAACAGAATACTCATGCAGTGCAAAAGAGTGTGAACGTGTGGTGTGTGGGAGGAGAATGTAACTACAAAACAAATGTGCTAGATCTGCAGAAAACAAATGTGATCGAATGGGCACCAATTGCAGAAATAGATGAAACTGTGACTACCAAACAAATGTGATACCAATTACAGAAATAGATGAAGTTAAAAAACAGGAGGGGTAGGGAAAATAATTTATCACAACCAATTGAAGTTTGGGTAATTTAAATGGGTCATTTGAGTAGGAGTAAACTCAATTCCGTGTTTCTAGTATCTAGAGGAAAGGAAAGAAGGATGGCACCTTTAAAGGTCAAATAGCAGAGAGGGAAGGATCAAATAATTCCAAGTTTTCTAGTATCTGAACTTGCCCAAGAAACCCCAAACATTTCGGACTTTAAAAAGACATGCCAAAGCAAGGTGGCACATAATACGATGAGCTGAAGTTTAAGGTGATTCACTAAAGGATGATAGCATCCTATCAGTCCATATGATCGTTTTTTAGAAAGTATGATTTTCTTTGTTTTGTAGTGCACCTACTGTCATGAGCATCTTCTTTTACTTTTTTATTTCAGACAAAAAAGTTTATCATCAGAAAGAAAACATCAAGAAAAATGACAATGAAGAGCATGTCAGTAAATAAAGAATACCGAGTTAAGGCATGAGCCAGCTTTATATTTACTTCTAAAGCTGGCTCAGCCAACTTTAAAAAATAGATGGATGGGAGAGAGAAAATTAACTGAATAGGAAACCCACTATTGCTAACAGAAAAGCAGGGGAATTTCACTCACCACCAGAAAACTATCACCAGAGTAACTATCCAAGAAAATAACCCAAATTGGTTTCCAGTGCTAAAATTCCCAATATATAAATGCTTAAAAGATGAACACTTAAAATATAGAGATAGAAAACAAGTATTCCAGCACCAAATGGTAATGTAATTCAGAAATATTTAATTTAGCCAGCTATACCAAACTCCAACTAAGTCATCATGGATAAAGAAATTCACCAGATGCAACAAGGCTTTCTATATTTCAAAAGTTGTGATCCTAATCATTCTAGAAAAAATTCGCAATCAGTGTCTCTCTACATAGCCTTCTAGTTTTCCTGTTCCCAATCTCCATCCTTTTTTACATACCTGTATAGGAGAAATGCCAACAAATTCCAAAACCTTTTCTTGAATCTCCCTTTTATAGATCCTCAAGCTCCCACCTCCGACCTGGTTCACAATTGACCACCCATAAAACGAAGTCATCAGTACAATTGGAACTTTTCTTGGGTTAATCTAATTTTGATTTTTAGGAAGAGATTGAGAATACCTCGACTCCATTGTAGACCAAATCATAAGCCAAAGCACTAGCAGTAGAGAGATCATCCAAATCCTTGGGGTTTGGTGCAGTAAAAGGGTGGTGCAGGGCCTGCAAAACAAATAAACAGATTCTTTTTGGGTGGTTACAAATAAATATATATGACAATCCATCATGTATAAGAAAAACAGAGAAGCTATGGTAATCCCTCATTTGCACCACCAATCTATCAAATCTTCATCTATGCATCCTAATAGCATGAAAAACCGTAAGCCATTTGGGTTCATCACAATCCATCAACATGATGGAAGGTGAACAGAGAGTTGGACCAATATTGCAGGTTGTAATTTTTAGTGGGTCTTATTTTCCATTCATTAATGACAAATGGATCATGATTTTTCCAAAGTCCATAGTATAATTTCCAATATTAGGTAATGGCCCGTCACATGGCCTTGAAATTCCTCCAAGGATATACATGCCTTTCAATAGGACCCCACCACTCAAATCAACAAAAAGGGAAAAAGCAATCCTCACCAATGAGAAGGCTTGTGGAACCAATCACTATCTGGGATCCATTCCTCTCACTTGTCTTTGGATAAAAAAAACAAAAAAGGAGAACCCTCAACGAAGCCATTTTAGAATTCTTAGAAAAAAAAAACCATCTTAGGTTGCTGCAGACCCTAATTCTGTTTGAACTGGACATAGGCTGCTCAGTTTAGCTTGGATTCAGTAACATTCTACTTTTCCTCTTTCTGATAACAGTGTTGGTTATATTGATGGACCTCAAGATATTCCCTGAGTAAGAAGGGATGAATTCTACCAACTCCGCGATATGGAGTTTAGTGCCTAAAGACAAAAGATAATTAAGAATGAAAACCTAAGAATGTCCTTACCTCAAATCTCTGCTCAGAGCTGTTCCACTCAAACATAGGAAAGTCCGTTACCCACAATATTGAGTGCAATGACTGGAAAATAAAATCCAAAAACAAAAAAAAGGAAAAATATATTATATTATTTTCTAAACTATCTCCAGAAACCAACTAAGTTGAACAATTGGATTTCATGAACTAATTATCAATAAAAAGGGCAAAAAAAAAGGAAGGAAAGGGAAAATCATGAAAAGAAATACCCCCCATTTTCAAATACGATCAAAATTGAGTGAACATTGGAAGTGACATGCACCAACAAGCCCACATAATTCTTTTCTTTCTCAGGATCTAGAGAAAGAATTTTTTCTACAGGTTAGTTATTTGGCTATTACATTGAAAACACTATGGTATTCACAGTTGCATTCTTCTTCACTTCAAATTTTTATTACAGAAAGAAAATACCAGATCTAAAAGACCCCTTACTTTGGTTGCCAAAACTTCAAGAGCTCATCTAAATAGAAGAAAAGAAAATAGCAATATCTTCACATCAGCCATTTCAAAAAAATAAACCCATATCACAGGCACTTTTAGGAATCAGAGTAACTCTTGACTTTAACCACCACAAAACAATGCATAACCATTTTCATTTTGATTGAGAAGGTCTACAAGGTTTCCAACCTTGAGTGTTTTGTGGGGCCCTTGCACCATAACCACCAAGCCCCAGGAGATAGAATCCAATGCATAATTACGTATTATTCTCCATATACCCATTTATTCAAATTAGAGTTCAGCGGAAGCAGATGAAACTAGGAAAAGGGAAAGTATACCTGATGGATGATGGAAAATCTTAGTCCACAGGGATCATTACCGTCCAATAAAATCGACAATTGTAGAAAGAGTGGGAACAAACTTTGGGTTTATATCCATTTCTCATGGATACCACTTTCTCCTGATCACCATCCATCATTTCAGTGGATGTCAATCAACCCAGTGAACAATTGCTTTCCATAGTCCATCAGATCATAGAGTGAAATTCTGAACTAAGAACAAACTAACTCAATAGCTTACATGGTCAACCATCTCTAGATCATGGGCTACAAATGTTCTTAGCCGGTCAAGTGTCTTATTCACTGCTGCCTGAGAACCCACAGCAAACAAAATCAAATCTCCAGAGTTTGCAGAGCAAAGTTTCACTAATTTCTCTTTGGCTGCATGATCCAGGCTCGATACCAAAGCAGGAATCCCCTCGAGCTCTCCTAAGCATTTTACAAAAGGTTATCGTCACTGTCATGATTAATGAAAGAAATATATGCCTTGGGATTAGTTAATGGAAGTATACATATACATTAAATTTCAAGATGCGTCGACATGAATGGGTAGAGGAAATCCAAATTTAAAATCATTTTTTCTAGTCCTTTACCACCATCCAAAACCTTGAGAAAAGGTAAACCCTTAGCTCCAGATTTAATTGCTTCACTGTAGACCTCCCCCTTTTTTAAGCTTGTGTTTGAGTATTTAATTGCACCACAAGGAACGCATAATGACTTTACAAGCCCCCCACATGCCAAGCAATCAGCAAAAACTTTGAAAGAGCACTCCAAAAATAAATATCCCACCTGAAATATCCATAAGAAATTGATCAAAAAAATCCCCAATAATATGTAAAGCAACAGAAACATGTTTATAGTTTTATATAAACATTGAATGTAAAAGGAAACACAAAATCCTCCAGATAAAAGATGCGCTCCGACCTTTATATACCTGGCAAGGGATTAGTTGTCACTAAATATTAGCTAGATAAGGAGAAGATAATCCAGAAATAAAATAGGAAAAACAAATAAAGCCTTTAAGTTCTACTCTTGAGACGAATAACATAAAAGTAGTGGTATCATAATGGCAGCAAATTTCTAATTGTAGTTTAAATTACAAAAGTGTGCATTGTAAACTATACATGATGAATAAAGAATATGATCATAATGTGCAAAGAATATAATTACATACTAGACTAGATCAAATACTCCATTTACTTGTGTTTGCAAGTGCTTGGTTACACAAACACATAATAACAAGATAAAAATACGCTAATTTTTCAGGCTTCAAATCTTTCGAAGAGATCTAGTTCAATTTATGCCACTAACAAGTCGAATAGCATTATCATTTATGCTAGTCATTCAATATATTTTATTACAGGCCTTATATAGATATGGACCATATGGTTACAGTTGGATGACTTCCTCTTTATCAGAAACTATGAAGCAACTTTCCAAATTTGACTCGAAATGGACATTTTAAACTCTAACCCTGCCCAACTGGATACAGAGGGGACTGGACAGGTCTCATCTCATTTTAGGTTCAAGAATATTGGGGGGGCCTTGTCTCCTTTTGGATACAAGAAAAGTATTTGGAAACTCGATTGAAGACTGACTAGGTCTTTGCCAAAATCACTTTGATTCACTAGGTCAAAACATAAATTTGGAAAAACTTGGCAAGTTTTTTAAATTTGTGTAAAAAAATTGAAACAACCAAGTTGTCAATTATGGGAAACAAACTCAGCTTGTTAATCAAGCATACGACAATGTTAACAGGATAAAGGAGAGCGTTCATTGGTCAAATCAATAAAGAAAACTATATAAAAGGAAAATCTCAGCCACACCTTGAAATTTACATATATAAAACCCTCCTAGAGGCTGAGTAGAATTGAATTGGCAAGTTTATCCGACTTAGAAATGAGTTATATTCACCACCAAGTCTGTGGTTGGATATTCTAGCTGATAAAACATGACTGAGATTGGGTGAACAATGGTAAAGTTGGAGAGTTGGGATACGAAAGAAGTTAAATGGATCTATGACCTTCCATATCTTAAGGGAATGTACAGTACCTCTTAGAGTTATTAAGGTTGGAAAATGCGGGGAAGGGAAGGATCAGCTGGTCCTAGAGAAGAGTAGAGGATAGAGGCTCAAAAGCTACTATTCTTATTAGGCTAAGCTGTGGAATCCATAGCTAGTAGCTGCGTAAGTTCCTCAAACTGCCTGTCAAACCTGGGAGCGGAATGTTAAACATGGATACATAGAAGTGCACTAAGGGATCTGGTGACAAGAGGTGCACTATGCCAGAGTCAATTTTTTTTTTTTTTGTTGGGATGATCATCTCAATGATCTTATCAAGACCATTCTGGCCAATATAGGTGCATCATGTCCTTGTTCCAAATCCTTCAAAGCATGAAAGAACACAGTAGGAGTTTTACTGCAGAGATATGGTGCAATAAAGGAGCACAAATTCCATTACGTAAGGAGAGGTCCAAAGAGGCTTCAATATGGCAATGCTCGGTATGTGGCTATAAAGATAGAAGGATTTAGGGGGATTTAGAGGAAATGCATCATCTACAGTAACCAAGGTTACAATGAGACAGGATAAGGACATCATTAGCATTGCATATGGTCATCAGAAGAATTTGGATTAGTTCTTGGATAACATGAAGTGCAAGGATAGGGTTTCTAAAGTTTGTTTTGCAGGTTAATCGGGATTATCTCTGAACCATGGGTTAAGATCATGGATTTATTTTAATTGGAGGGGAATTCATGATGTATGATAAATTAGGGGAATCATAGGCATGAAAGTGTGCTGACTGTTGTAATTCACTAGCTGCTAAAAGTAGGGCTTCCATTGAGACTCAATACGGATAAGATGATTCAGAAATGGGATTGCCAAGGGGTTTTTTTCAAGCCATTCTTTCATACTTTATAAAAAGCAATGGGATTAAATCCCCTCCAAATTGCTTGATCTAGGGTAGCACAACCCGCAAAATGGTGTTGGGCTCTGGGCAAATGACGATGTAGGACAAGGGGGACCACATTCGGCACCACAGGTTCCAGCTTCCAAATAACAATTTTTGTACATAGAGAATGAAGAAATGATCGATTCATCCACTCACTCATGGTAAGTCTAAAGTGGTCTCAAGTTTCTTTCCAGACCAATTGTTAGTTTATAGTTATCCCCGAGATGATAGCCTCCCTTCACGATAGTGGGTGTGTAACCTGCCACTAGAAATCTTTAATAAGGGTAGTTGGAGAAGATGTGGGATCTTCAAAGGTAAACACCTTAGATGCAATGCTCATGGACCCTAGTCACAAAAGAATTATGAAGGTATTGGCGCCAGAATGAACCTTGGTACGACTTGACAAAATCATGAGCTCCAAACATAACTGGTGTTTTAAATCATCAATAGGGACTATAAAATCAACAAGTGACAGCAGCTCTAATAGGAATCCTTTGGGGAGAAGTGTAGCATAGAGTGTGTGTGTGTGCATATGGAACTGCAGTTTTCTGCTTTGTTCATTAACACCAAGAGGATTATGTAATACCATGGATAATAGTGTCGTTGTAAGACTATATATAACCTAAATGAAAATGATGAGGGTAATGCTTCACTTCTTCAAAATCATCTCCCTCTTGCCCCTCATCCCCCCCCCCCCCCCCAACCCTCTACGGACAAAAGTGAGAGCTTACAAAAGAATCACTGTTGAGTAACTATACCATCCCAATTGGAGATTCCGATTCCACTGAGGTGGAAGCAAGAACCCTATTGATGAAGCCAAGGGTGTTTCCTGATCATTTCTCTAGAACCCGATCAGCCTATTTTATTAATCAAGGCAACTCAGTCAATGTGAGTACGTAACACATTTATTTTTCTTTTTCTATGCTAATGCATAGCTCATCTAATTGTAATATTCTATATAGTTACATATACTGTTACAAATGAGTTGAAGGCAGCATGTTATAAAGAAATGAACCATTATCTCATTATGTGTCTAAATACAATAATACACGCACATGCACATATTTCATTACAATTTCTACCATTCTATTGGTTTATTTTGCCTTAGCTTTATCTCATATAAGCAGGCCTGTATTTTGTGATATCAATCACACAGTTTAATTAATGGATGCTTGTAAAACCATGAGTCCACTAGCATTAAATGCCATACAGGGGGTCTTCAGCTAAATAAGCTTCAGAAATATTGCAGGAAACTTTTCAAAGATATGCTAATTTCCAAGGAAACAAAACCTTTCCGGAAGCTGAAAGGAGAAATGTGACAACTCAAAAACCATGTTATACTATTAGCAGACTTACATCTCTCAGCTTCATGTCAAAGCGAAGATCTGGCTTGTCTGATCCATAACAGCTCATAGCTTCATCATATGTGATACGTGGAAAAGGTTTTGGAAGTTGGATTCCTTTAATTTCTTGAAATACCTGCCATAAGGATTCAACACATCAACTCTAGTTGAGAAGTTAACAAAAAAGTGCCCAGAGAAAAAATCTCCATTATTACTGGACCAAATTTCTAATCATCAGCAGTCAAAGAACTGACATGTCTTATTAAATTTTCATTGAGATTCAGCATGTCCTCTAAAGGTGTAAAAGCCAATTCCATATCTAGCTGGGTAAACTCTGGCTGTCTATCTGCCCTCAGGTCCTCATCTCGAAAACACCTGAAAGTTGCAAAAATGATTATAAAAGTGAACCAAAATAAAGATTTGGAAATCATGCATATATTATATCCAAGATACTATCTATCTACCCAAATAATATTTAACAGGCAATAATTAGCCACATGCATGTTTTCCTTGTACTGATAATAAAAAGGTCTGTAGCAATAAAATAAAAGAAGTATGGACAGAAAACTATTACGCAAAACAAGAGAAAAACCTTGCTATTTGATAGTACTTGTCAAAGCCAGAAACCATTAACATTTGCTTGAACAACTGAGGGCTCTGAGGTAAAGCATAGAATGTCCCTGGCTTGAAAAAGAACACCAAAATAAATCAGCCATGCAAGCTACTGATACATATCCCGAAAAGATTCGAACATTCTTGATAAATAGAAAATATGATTACCAAAGATAACATGGATTAAGACCAAAAAACAGATAAAAATCCAAAAATGGATGATAACAAATAAGCATAGCTGTCATAGTTATGACATGCACATGTGCTGTCATAGTCATTGCGTGCACAGTAAGCATCTGATAACGACAGGTTTGCACATCTTTGAATAAAATTGATGAAAGCAAATCAAAGACAGAAAATCAAAAGATGGTTAAAAGCCAAGGAAACCTAAAAAACTACGATGGCCAGCAATAGAATAGACCCAATCCATTCCTAAATATAACTACATTAGGCAATAAATAATTTAAAGCGCCCCCCTCAACAATTTGAAGTCCCACAAAACTCTATTTAAAATTTATGCATACTAGCCAAGGCCTCATTCACATCAGCCTACATTTGAACAACCTAAAAGAGCATTCCATTGACAACCCCTGAAACCCATTAGAACAAGCCTCAAGGTTTCTTTCACCAAAACCAACAACACACCAAATTTCTAAATACGACTTTTAGAAGAGCTAAAAGAATAGTTCTTGTGGTTAAACACATGTTCTCAAAATATCACCCAGATATTGTCCCAACTTTACGTATCTTTGACGAGACACAAATAGACAACAGAAAGAGGATACCTGAACTCGTGAGGGCACAAGATAATCCCGAGCACCTTCGGGTGTGGATCTGGATAGTAAAGGAGTTTCAATCTACATTACAGCCATAATAGCATGTCAATGTCAAGATCAATGAAATCACAAAAAAGAAAGGATTCATGAAAGATTTGACTAATACCAGCCCAGCATGGAAAAGGCAAAAAAATGGGGAAACAGGAAGATAACTAAAAAGTATATAAGAAGAATTTCACACAAGTCGTAGCATAAAATTAGGTAACCTTTAGATTATCCATCATATATACCTCCACAAAGCCAAGTACATCCTCTAGGTATTGCCTGATGACCTTAATAACTTTATGCCGCAACTTTAGGTTGGAATGCATCTGCTGTCGGCGCAAATCAAGGCATCGGTATCTAGCATGATTGCGAAATAAGTGTATGCTTAAATACAACACCTAGATTTTAAACTCAATCAAGATCGTCCATCACAATAGAATGACAAAGTGCCCAACTAGATGGAAAGATTACAAAAAATAACAACCTACTAAATGGTCATTACATCAGAATAAACAGCAAATAGCCTTGAACATTTCTAGAGAGAACAGCTAACAGAGTGGAACTCAATAGCTTATTGCCCTACATTACTAAGAGAATAAGAGGAAGGCATCACAATTCAAACAAAGAAAGTAATAAGGAAAAAGAAATTACATTAGAAAGTTCAAAAAATAGACAAAATGTTTGCACACACCTAGAACGTCGAAGAAATCAACAATCCTGGCATACATCCAGTATTCTTCCTTAACTGATACCACATCAATGTGAGCCTCGCTTTATGCATAAGTTTGCCATTGCCCTTTGGAAAATGGAAACTATTAACTTAATCATACATCTTATTGTGATAACGATTGGAGTACTTTTTGTCCAAAAAAAGATGCAATCGAAGTTACTCTGTTTTTTTCTTTTCTTTTATGCATAATCCAAATAGACATTCCCCAAAAGTTTCAACATTTATCAATAATTTCCTCGACAAGCTTAATGACAGTTTCCAGTTAGCATGCAGAAAAGAATGACAGAATCTGTGGGACAAATGGGGGAGTCAAAGATTAGTCAAATATATATATTTTTTTTATGAAAGTGTTAACTGTTAGAATTCAAATATTAGAGTTCCAATTCAAATGTGTTATCATTTCCTGACTTGTATGCTTCTCAGTGGTCTTCAAATTACAATAATTATACTCAACACTATCCAAAAGAATGATGCAAAACCTCTAGGTCAAAGGTCAAAGCTAAACAAAAGATATCTGCAGTTTTAAAGACAATGAATACAATAGACTTAACGAGATTTAGCCCTAACATGTTGATTACCTTAGGCGAATTTCCTCTGTGACTATATCTTTTGCATCATCAGCAACAGTAACTAAAAATGGCAAGGCTGACCGAACAGAATTCAATAGATTTATAGACTCTGCTGCAATCTGAGTAAGGGAGTTTTTTGATATAAGAATACACTTCAAAATTTCTCTCAGAACAGAGATTACAGAAGTGAATTTTCTTAATTATCAGTCTTCTACCAATTACAGAATGTTACCATATCATATGGAGCTTCTCAGACAATGCTACATGTATATTTTCTATTGCGAAAAACACAAATGTAACATTTGTCATAAAGGAATATGAACAAAGAAGCACTAATAAAATAATTGATCAACTAGATCCTCCCAGTAGAAAAAAGTAAACATATCCAAGGTAAGATTTCGTTTTGAAGTGTAAATGAATATCGGAAAAATGTGAGAGTGGTGAGAATCTGTGCATAAACTCCTTGTTCTGGTGGATTCAGCTCATCACCAACAAGAGGTGGATGAGATTTTTGCTCACCACGCTTCATTTGTGAACATATGGATCGATCAACTACAAAATGCTAGATATTTAGTGGATAACTTTTCATCCAATGACTGTTGAAAATTCTCTGTTTGCCTAAAGCAAGGAAATCATCAACCTGAAACCTGAATTTAATGGGTATGTGGCACCCATTTGTCTATTTAGGAGAGCATATGTCTGCAAGAAAATTGCCCGATTGAAACCACATCCAATGACCATTTGGGACTACATAAGCAAGTGAAGTGAACCATCTGTAGAAAGAGACTACCCCCTCAAAAGGCATTGACATATTCATAATTCTGCAAAATTACGAGGACTGGAGTTTTCATTTCAGCAAAGCCCTTCCAGTTCCATGGCCAAGTAAAGCAAACGTAACTAAGAGAGAGATTGCACAGTCACCTCGGCCATGCACTAATCTAAAATACTCTCTCATCAAGCAATGTCATCTCTATATGAGAAACACTAGTATTGTCAACGACCATTCTGTTTGGGTATAATTTGTTCAAGGTCTAAGTATCAAATAGTGAATACAAAATGAGGCCTTTTAAAGAAAAAGCATACCTCCAATCCACCAGTACTCATCTTTCTGTTCACCGATTCAGAGGGCCGAGAACGAACAACACCTTCCACTGCAATTACGTACTCCAGTCTCAGCTTATTTGCCAAAGCATGGGCATCAGGGAACTCATCAGGCAGAGTAGTAATCTGAAAAACAGGGGAGAAGGAGAGAGAGAGAGAGAGCAATCAAAAAATGACACAACCCAACAAGCTAATTCCACCAAAACAAGAGAGAGAGACAGAGAGTAATGGGAAGTCCACCATAAACCCAAGAAAATAGAGACAGAACATAAGAAATCGGTATTCCCCAATAGTTGCAGAGCAAATAACCCAATAAGAAAACCCAAAAACCACAAGTAATACTCCCATGAACCAATAAAACCATAAAAATGCATGGGATAGAGTAGAAGCAATATAAATGACCTGAACAATGCCAGTGTGATCTCTCAAGTTAAGGAAAGTCACAGCGCCATGAATTCGATGGAGCGCAACCCACCCGCAAAGACGAACCCTCTTACCAACATCCGCATCAGTTAGCTCTCCACAAAAATCAGTTCGGGTCACCCATTCAAGAGAATCAACGGTGGGCAATGTTGGTTTTAGCTCTTGAGCAATAGAATTTGCTGAGGAACTCAAAGCTGAAATGGAACGAAATGTTCTTGCTTGAGAGGAGAGAGAACGATAAACGGGGTGAGAGGGGAGTTGCAAAATAGTGGTTTTGTTGTTAATGGAGGAGATTTTAACGGTGGGGAGAGCTCGGAGAATGGCAGACATGCTCTCCCAGTGCAGACGCCTAGGGAGCATGGTTTGTGCTTCGGTGTTTCTCTCTCTACAAATGGGGAGGTTGGAAGAGGAAGAGCATGGTGGACTTTCTCTCTCTACAATTGGAGAGGTTTATCCTTTTCTTGGGTTATTGAGAGCTTAAGGCTCTGTGCTCTCTGTACAATCTTAGTGGTCTCTCTCTCTAAAGTTCTAAGAGCACATATACTATGCTCCCTCGCGAGCATAGTTTGCTTCTACTCCCTCGGTCTCACTCTTAAAATGTCAAATGAGGATTTTTATTATTATTATTATTTATTGAGAAATCTTTATGTTAAATGGATCCATGGTAATTATAGTTTTTTCTCATTAATTTTGGTTTGTCATAATGTTCTATTAATGGCTAAACTTTTTAGTGAGGCTATAAGTTCACATATATTTTCTATCTACTTCAAATACGTCTTTTTTCTAATAGACTTTTTAACTCTTTTTTTAACATCCTCTAAATTCTTTTTTTAGCCTTTTAATTGAACTAACGCAATGCTCTAATAAAGGTTGTACGGGGTATACTTTATACATAGACAATCTATCTAAGTCTACTCTCTTTTATCTTATTGTCTATTGGTGTTACACCTAAATTTTTTTGAATGAATTTAAATGTTAAATAGATTAAATTTCTAAAATTTACGGTCCAAAAACTAACATTGCACGGGTATTCTGCTTAAATGAGTAAATGAACAGTATACTCTCGAGGGAGTAAGATTTCTTTTAGCAAGTTCTTTTAACTATTTGGTGTCACCCACCACCGGGTCCAACAAGCTTTACTTAAACTTTTTCCTTACTAGGTGCGGTTTGTATAGAGCCTACGCTCTAAACAATCAAAGTACAACCTACCTTTAAATAGTATCTAGAAATATGATTTCAATATTAGAAATATTTGTGATAGCTTTAAAATATATTTTTATATTTATTTATAAAGTTTAAAGCTTCAAAAATAGTGTCGATCGACAGATCTATGAAAACTTGAAAATCTTGAAAATTGACAGTACAAAAATGTGTTACAAAATACATTATTTCTAAAACTTGAAATCCATTTTTTTTTCTCATGCTCATGCATCTTGATGTCGAGATGATCAATTTGAAGATATTTGGGTATCAAAACAACCCCTTCTAGTGAATTTTTTTTAAGTAGGCTCAAATTTGATTGTTTAGAGCCTCAACTCTATATAAACCTCTTCCTTACTTACATGGAGTAAATGGACATTATAATCCCGAGGGAGTAAGCTCTTTCACAACACCCTAGCGGTGGCAATGGGTTGGGTACGAGTTGGGTCTGTCTTGACTTGGGACTGGACCTTAATAGTATTAGGGTTTAGGCTTTGGACCAAGATCCAACTGGTCTGGTCAAAAAATTAGACCCATATCCGTACCCATACTCATTGGGTCCCAAGTCTACCCTGTCGGGTCTTGGTTCTGGTCCGGGTCCATTTCCACCCTCACTATGAACATCTTTTTTTTTTTGCCACTTTTTAACCATCATATACCCATATAATTGGTAACAAGGTTACAATCACCCGGCAGTAGAGTTCAAACCGTTTGATTTATCATTTAATAGCTAAAGATAACTACAGTTCTTATTGTATACGATCCTTAACATACCCAAACGCTTAGGGCTTAAAGTAAAGTATTGTATCTCCAACGATTTACGGGTACAGGTCGAGTCCAGTTGGACCCAGATCCGAATAGTGTTCGGGTCCAACTTTTAGACGTGGACCCGACTCGTCGGATCCAAATGCTAGACTCATTCCCAAACCCGTGTCGGGTATACCCAGCAGGTCCAAGGTCAGGTCTGAGTCCATTGCCACCCCTAGATCACCCACCCAAAATCATTATTCTCCTAATAGTTTTATTTTTCTCTTAAAAGTTAATTATATAAATTTTTCTTAAATATACTCTGTATTTTCAAAATTGAAAAGTATATTAGATGTTTTTATTTTATGGAGTAAGGTTTGCATCAAGTGCCTACTTTATCCTATATACAATAAGGCGCGTGTCTAAATTTTGCTTCAGTTGTTCCGGTGTCGAAAATCTTACCATGGCTTGAAAATGGATGTTCAACCCTAATTATGAAATTTAAAATTAAAAAAAAGATGCAGATCGAATAGATCTATGAGCACGTGAATATCTTGAAAATAGATAATCCAAATAACTTGTTACAAGATGCATTATTTTTAAGATTTTAAATTCTCTGATTTCTTTATATATATATATATATATATATATATATATATCTAAGTACGAGTATGTATCTAATTGGTAAGGTTTTACCTAACGTTTAGGTAACTATTCTATTTCTTACTAGGTTAGTTTTTAGGTGTCACT